AGAGTCATAACTGGGCTGAAGTAAAGAGACAGGATTAAGAACATTAGAATAGTATTGATTAACCTGATATTCCAGGTGAGGAATAAAAAATCCTACTTAGGTTTCTAGTTAGGGAAAGTTGGGGTGTGAAGTTTCCAGTAGCTGAGATATGACAGATAAAAGCTCTCTGTTGGGATTTGGAAAAAGGGTGGCGATGAAAATCTCACAGCTCCGGAGTGACAATGACTCAGATACCAACTCTGAATTGCCATGTACTACTCATGTGACACTGGGAAATTTACTTGACCTCTTTGTTTCTCAGTTTCCTCCGATGTAAAATGGGAAAAATTATAATATTTATTTCATGTTGTCACTGTGAAAACAAAATGAATTCATATATTCTGTTACTTATACTATACCCCTCCTTAATCTCAATTCCTACCTCACCTGCTCTCAACCTGACACCATTAAACTTGATTCCAACAACCTTTGACTTCACTGTAATTTACAGTGTACTATTCCTAAAATATATTACTGTACCTCATATTTCATGTCTTTATTTCCCTTGTTTCCAGCTTGAATTCCATGGTTAATCCTTACAACTACTCCTTTGCAAATCTTCTCAACTCTCTGGATGCCTTCTCTGTACATTATATTTGCCAAAAGAAACAGTCGGCTGGGGGTGGCGGCTTACTCCTGTAATCCCAGCACTTTGGGAGGCTGAGGCTGGTGGATCACGAGGTCAAGAGATCGAGACCGTCCTGGTCAACATGTTGAAACCCCGTCTCTACTAAAAATACAAAAAAAAAAAAAATAATAATAACTGGGCGTGGTGGCACGTGCCTGTAATCCCAGCTACTCAGGAGGCTGAGGCAGGATAATTGCCTGAACCCAGGAGGCCGAGGCTGCGGTGAGCCGAGATCGCGCCATTGCACTGCAGCCTGGTTAACGAGAGCGAAACTCCGTCTCAAAAAAAAAAAAAAAAAAAAAAAAAAGAAAGAAAGAAAGAAACAGTCACATGAAGACTGTGCTATGCCTATTCCACTCATGAAGCTAGAATGTAATTAGATAAATACAAATGAATGTGAGTCGAGAAATATATTCATCTAAGCTGACTGGAATCATACACTAAATGACGATTCTTAACTAGAGGTAGCTGCTCCCTTCTCCTTGAAAATCACACTGTTTCCTTCATCCATTTATTTCCCACTTTCCTGGGTGACACAGGCTTCTTACACATCTTGCACCATCCTAACTCTAGCTAATGACCCAGCTTTCTATTTCTTCGAGAAAATAGAAATGTTGTATCTTTCTGCCGTTTTTGCCCCCTCAACACAGCACAGATTGTTCCTTTTAAAGTCAGATCATTTCTTGTTCTGGTCAGACTCCTCTAATGGCTTCCTATTTTATTCAGAGTAAAGGCTAAAGATTTTACAATTGCCTAAATTGTCCCACCCATTATAAAAATCTTATAATATATCTTTGAACATCTATTTTTCCTCCTATACACTCAGAGCTAGCCACTAATCTCTCCAGTCCCTTTGAGATCTGTCAAGTGTCTATCGTGTCAGAATCTACCAGTAAAATTCTGTCTCCAGAGAGCCACCAGGGTGACACCCTCAAATCACTCAATGCTTAACTCTCTCCTCAGTGAATATCTTGACTGCCTCTTTTATAATCGCAGTCCCAACATTGCTTCTTTCTCTACTTTAATTTTGCCCTTTACATTGAAAACAAAACTAGTTCTTATTGATACAATTAATGTACAATAAATGTTTTGATACTGTTAAGCAAAAACTATCAAGGCCACTGTTTGGACTGAGCTTACAGGAGGCCGCAGCAGAGCAGACCAAACCAAAATGAGTCATTTGTACTAAAGTGTCACATAATCAAATTGAAACTTTAAGAAAGGAGATTGATCCCAAAACATACCAGTTGTTTCAGAAAATATGAAGTTCCAGTCTACCTGACTTGGTATAATAATGATGTAACCACTGCTTTAACTCTTATCCAAAGAGTAACCTGAAGTCACATGACGTTCAATAATCAGCTTTTGTTTTGCATTATTTTGTTTGTTTCCATCTTACAAAGACCACTGTTCTTCTATGTCCAGTGGGAGCTCTCATTCTACTTTGTAGAATGGAGGCTGTCCTAATTCACAAATAAATGCCAATTTGATTTATAAATAAAGGTGTTGTTATTTTGTTTTTAATAGTATAAATACATTGTGAAATGAGTATTATAGTCAAGAAAATTAACATATCCATCTTCTCTTGTAGTTATGTGTGCGTGTGTGTGTGTGTGTGTGTGTGTGTGTGCATGTTTAGAGCACCTGAAATCTAGCGTATTGGCAGATTTTCAGGACATAAGACAGTATACAGTATAACATACTGAAAATCTGCCAATAGATAGTATGTTTGAGATGGAGTCTCACTCTGTCATTCCAGCTGGATACAGTGGAGTGATCTTGGCTCACTGCAACCTATGCCTCTTGGGTTCAAGCGAGTCTCCTGCCTCAGTCTCCTGAGGAGCTGGGATTACAGGGACCTGTCACCATGCCTGGCTAATTTTTTGTATTTTTAGTCTAGATGGGGTTTCACCATGTTGGCTAGGCTGGTCTTGAACTCCTGACCTCAAGTCATTCACCCACTTCGGCCTTCCAAAATGCACGATGAGCCACCATGCCTAGCTATGTTAAACAATACTAACTATAGTCTTTATACTGTACATTAGATTTGTAGGCATTCATCTTCAATAGTTGCAACTTTGTTCTCTTTGACCAATATCTCCTCACTCCTCCCTTCTTCGTATCTTTAGAAATCAACGTTCTACTCTTTCTATGTATAGTACAACCAGGTACTAAATAATTTACTTATTTGTATGATTTATTGTCTACGTTATCTCTGCTGGAAGGTAAACTCTATAAAGGCAAAGATTTGTCTTTGCTTTTAATGTTCTCATGTCTCTCTACAATACTGTTTGGCACATACTAGCTATGCAATGAATATTTACTGAACAAATTAATTAATATTTTAGCATAGTACCTGGGATAGCATATATGCTCAATCAAAAGAGCTATAATTATTACAGTAATATATAATAATATATTGGGCATATAGCACTTAAAATAATATGGGTCCTGCAGGTGGCAGTTCTAGGTTTGGAATTTAGGACGATGAGCCGATATAAATTAGCTTGGTAATGCAATCAACTGAATAAACGAGATCTCATCGGGAAGAACACTAAGAAAGGAACTCCATTACATAGGAAGGTAGAACCCAGGGATGCACCGACATGGGCATGTCGACATTGCAAACCCAGGAAAGATACTGAAAGCAAGTGTGCAGAGAAACAGAGAAAAGACGAGGAGAGTGAGGTATAATGAAAGTCAATGAAAGGTAGACATTTCAGAAGGATGAAATGCTCAACTGTCATCACACACTTCAGAGTAGATAGTACCACAAAAATGGTAAACAGAAAATGCTGAGATATAAATCAGTTTTTAAACTGTGGGAATATTTAATGATTGGAGATAAATCTTCAGAATACAAATGGTCTAAACATAGCAATGAAAGGTTTTGGAAGATTGTTCAAAGACAAGAATATTCATTTAACACATACTCTTTACTTTTGATACTCTCAAAAAAGATGTGATAGCATAATAAAGAAAAATACCCCTTAGGTTTGAATTTGTGTAACTAGAGTTTGACGTAAGTGGACCAAGGATGCAGTCCCCAGGCTGCTGAACTGAGTGGGGTCTTGCACAGGCAGATCGATGGTAGGAAGAAATCATAGATCTCTTCTTAGAGTTAAAATCTGACATCAAAAATGCATCTAAAGCAGTACAATTGCTGTAATTTTTAAATAAAAATATAAGTAATACAAAAATCTGGAAGTCTTCAAGACAATACTTAAATGAATAAAAATGACACTAAATTAACCTAAAATGTAAAATGTTTTTATATGACTCTCATTATATTTAATTAATATTATTTGCCATAGGATGTCTAGGAAACCTTACATGAAGAAAGAAAATTTAGAATTAGTTATTGCTATACTCAACAATATTGAGGTATTTTCTTTTCCTCTATTTTTGTAGTTTGAGAAAGTGAAGAGTTTTTAATAATTTTGTTAAACAAAGGCATTTTAAATACAACCAAACCAGTATTTTACAGATAATTACAAAATGAATCATAAGTGGTACAAAATGAGTAATACAATTAATTTCTAGATTGACCTTTAGAAAAGTATTTTTCTAACATTTCTTTCTTGTTATAATTTTATTATATCAAATGGAAGTTCCAGACATTTAATTTCCATGTTGCTTTTCAAAATGAGAAGTGCATCATGGATATAGTTTGTTTTTTAAAGTAACTGTTACACTTTAGAAGAAATTTGGATTTTGAATATGAATTTTGTTATTTGAATATCTGCATTTCTTCCTACCAAGGTTCGTTCTTTTCAAAGTTACTTTACTTATGCATTTTCACTTCTATATTTATTGAATTACACAATTATTTTGCAGGTAGTTAAATTTATAGTTCAAGAAAAGATTTTTAAAAACAGCCAATAGTAGTGCATAACTTTCTTCAAGGTTTTGTCATCATTTTAAGTAGTTTCTAACCTAGATGAGAGCCCTCAACATTGCAGATATATAACGTGCATCCCCAGCAAAATTGCCCATAAGAATAACTTCATTATTCTGGGAAGCTAGATCTATAAAATATATAAAATGTAGAAGTGTTCTGCCTTCACAATTCCTGGTAAGTACAGCATGACTAAGTGATAAAACCTGAGTCAGCTTCAGTTCAAGCATACCGTTCTAAAACGTGTATAGTGACATGAAAGATAAAGAAAATATAGTGGGCAAAGGTGTTCTGTTCCAGAGTAACAGTGTATTTTAGATCTATATAGTTCTACTGTGATTTATGAAAAATTACCTCTAGAAGCATTTAGTGGTATATGATACTGATCAGTCAGAGCAACCATGAGTTACAGCAGAATGATAAGGAAAAACTCACCAGTACCACTGGACAGATTGTTGTGGGTGGTAAGATGTGGTCCTTCAAAGGTCCACAGTCACATTCAGGTTTTAGATGAGAAGCACATTTATTATGGAGCTGAAAAAAGAGAAAGGGGGATAATATCAAATTCTACATGACAACTCCTAACACGGGGGAGATTACAGTTCAATTAAGATACAGCAAACACATTAAAAGTAAAATAAACGAATTATAAGAACAAATAAACAGAATCAAGAAGGAATTCCTAATACATTTGTCCTTATAGATGTACCATAAATAAACGACTTAGCAGCTTCTGAGACCCATTCTGTACATTTTGTAATTCTCAGAAATGTTTGTATTAAAAATATACTTTAGGTTTTGCACCAAAGAAGGCTGATGTCTTTGACAAACACAGATTATTGTCCATCATACTTCTTTCTTTGCTTATCTGTTAGCATAATCTTGAAACCACTGTGCCTGTGTACGCTTTTTTTTTTTTTTTTTTTTTGACCCTCATGTTTTCTCAAAGTCATTCCAAAGTGCACAGCTCAGTATGGGGCATAATTGATCCCATCATTAGTTTTAACTTTGTAATTCAATATGTAAATGCAACCAGAGATTCATCTCAGTAGGAGCAGGATATAAATAAAAGAAGATGATTATGATTATAAAAATTTATCTGTATATTGTATTTATCAGCTCAACATTAAGTTAGTGTATAATCATACAATGTCATATTTATTTTTAATATGTGTGAACCCAAACTAATATTTTTATTAACTTGGTCACAAGTTTACATTAAGGTGTTATAACGTGGTGCTTAAAATAGCGATGTTTTTAAATTGAGATGGTAGTTTTTTAAAAAATTACAGATTTGGTAAAATAATACTTGCTTGCAGGCATCTAGAGATTTCTCCCTCCTGCACTATGCATCAATTTGATACGAACTGTTCATACTTTAGAAAATAATATGCATTTCAAAAAGAAAACATGTCATGTTCTAAACAAAAAAGAGCCACATCATTTTTTGGTTTTGAATCAAAAGCTACCCAATTTAAGACTTGGCTACATTAATTTCTACAATATACATACCTCTGTGAGCAGTTAATTATCAACTAAGTATAGGAGTCTAATGAGTGTTGATTGATTTTTAGTGGCAGAACAGTGTCCGAGAGGGATTTCTGTGGTCCTAGAATCTAAAACTGTTGTCATGCTAATTCCCTGCATTGGTGTTGAGGTGATTTGTACTATAACTAATGCACATTAGGTTACATTACATGAAATAAAAGTATCTTTACACATTCATCCATAATTAGCAGTTCCGCTTCTCGATGGCATATAAACTTCTCTATAAAAATGATTTAATCATATTAGGCACTACTGGTCTTTGTCAAGAGGTAAGAAGTGCTGAAGATAGAGAAGCAGTTGAATGTACTATAGAACTAAATTGATACTGAGAGAAAATTAAAATATATAGTTTCCTAAAATAAACTTACTGACCGGTTGAAAATGTATTATTAATTTATTGGACCTAATCAACTTTCTTAGAATAAACCATGGCCATGGAGGTCTGGATTTAAAGGTAACAGATGATCAAGTGTCGAGGTGGATCAACTCCCCCGCCACCAAAAGCTATGTTGAAGTCCTAACTTTTCAATGTGAACTTCATTGGATATAAGGTCTTTCTAGATGTATTTAACTTAAGATGTAGTCATTCTTGGTTTAGTTGGACCTTAATCCAATGACTGGTGTCCTTATAAGAAGAGGGAAATCAGGACAGAAAGACAAAGGCATGGAGAGGAGAAGGCCATCTGATAACCCAGGTAGAGATTTGAGTGACGCAGCTGCAAGACAGAGATCCAAGGATTGCAGACAACCACCAGAAGCTAGGAAGAAGCAGAAAAGGATTCCTTCAGAGGGGAGGATAACCTGCTGAAATTGGAAATTCTAGCCTCCAGAGCAATGAGTGAATACATTCTTGTTTAGACACCTATTTCATGGCAATTTGTTACAACAGTCCTAGAAAACTAATAAACCCAGTACTATAAAAATTGCACTAAGACCAAAGAAAGACTATGTATCTTAAGACTGCTGTACTATGAATGTCACAGAAAAAGAGCTTTTGCTCTTTGATCTTGGGCAACTTCCTTAACACTGGGAAAACAGACTCAGAATCCTCTACAAAGAAAAACAGATCCGAGATAAAAATCTATTTGTGTTTACATCAAGAAAGTGTTGACATATTACTCTTGATTACAGTGTAAAGCTATACACATGACTCTGAGGGCCACAGGGGCAGGACATACTGAGTCTCATGCCAACACTGACTACAGATGCACAGTCAGAGGCCTCGGCCTCCTCCGTGCTTCCATCCATGTGTTTCCAACAATTTGCAACTGATATGGCAAGCAGCGACTAAGCTCTCTGTATAGTTATTTGAGTGTTACTGATGTAAGAAAGGATGGCAAAAATAAAATTAATTTAATGACAACTTTGGGGCATTTAGGTTAGTCTCCCAGAGAGAAGGAAAGAATCGAAGACTCAGATAGAATCACAAAGTAGATAAGCTTACCACAGTGTATGTGAAGGGACAACTCTGTGTATTGGGGTTTGGGAGTTTCAGAGTATAGGTACTGATAATTGATCCCATGAAATTCTGGCCTTTGCACAGCCAAATAAAACTAGAATGGAATTTCCCAGTTTGATTACCACTGTGGTGCATATCCCTGGGTTTTGTCTAGGCAGTCGTAAGGCACTCTCCCAGAAAAATAAGCACATAGTAGGATCTATAAGAAGTTTAATAACGATATTATTATCTGATACATAGAACCACACAATGCAAGAAAATTCTCCTAACCAAGAAGTCTATGTTTGATAATATGCAGGAATACCTTATGATTGTATTAAGACTAGAATCTGGCAGCTAATAAATACATCTGCATAACCATCAACATTATGACATTGTTTGTAGCCAAGAGTTTTAAAACTGAGGGCATTATGTTAGGAGTACTGATCATTTTACAAGTTGTGAATCAAATTTGTATGACAAGGTTAGTTTATGCAAAAACATATATTGTGAAAGCCAATGTGAAAATACGTATCATTTTCAGGACCACCTATAAAGTGTAAAAGTGAATGCTGTGAACCTAAAACTGCTCTAAATAATAAAGTCTATTTTCAAAACCAAAAATCAACAAAATAAAGTTACATAATAGAATTCAAATGCTATTTTTCTTTAAGATACTAGTAGTTTTTTTTTTGTTTCCTGATCAAGTGCTTACAGAATATTCATTTGGGCAAAATTCATTAAGCTCTGCCCTTTGGATTTAAGTGCTTTTCTGTATGTACATTTTCCTTCAATAATAAGCTTTCTACAGTTTGAAAGAATGAATAAGACCTACTAGTTGATAGCACTATAGGGTGACTATAGTCAGTAATAATTTAATTGCACATTTTTAAACAACTTTAAGAGGGTAACTGGATTGTTTGTAACTCAAAGGATAAATGCTTGAAAAGATGCCCTGTTCTCCATGATGTGCTTATTTCACATCGCACGCCTGTATTGAAACATATCATGTGCCTCCTAAATATATATACCTACTGTGTGCCACAGAAGTTAAAAATTAAGTGAATATCATAAACAATAAAAATTTGCTTAAACTTGTCACCGTATTTCATGGACAGGAATATAAGAAAAAGGCACAGCTGAGTCCTTCTTAGTGTTAATAAGATGCTGATAATTGTTTTAAAGATAACCTATATCCCAAATCAGCAAAACCCTAAACACTGAGATCCTCATCAGGAACAGAAATAAACTAGAGCACTGAAGACACTGCTTCTTGAGTAAAGCAACCAGTAGAGCACTAGAGAAAAGGAATTGTTTACTATTTAAAAAATTTTTAAACATTTTTGTTCAATTATCTTTGCATTTTTTTTCAATCTAAGGCATAAAAATCCTTAGCTCATTTTAAAATATACATCCAGAAATTCCCATTCATCTTAAGAGATTCAGTGCCATATGTAGGAAAGTCATATAATAGGAACCAGCTTTTCCTGGAAGTGAATTAAACACTTGGAAATAATTTCAGAGTTTATGACAACTTCCAGTAGCACCTAATTTAGAGCCAGATCTATGTTTATTAGAAAAAGCTGTCTCAAGATAGAAAGAAAAAGAAAGCGCGTGAATGTGTGTATGCATGTGTGCCTGCATATACTTCTTGGTGAAGTTGAGAAGAGAGTAGGTGTGCTGGTCAGAGAAGAAAATGGAATCTAAGAAGTCAAAAGAAGGAAAAACAGAAAGTAAATGTTCATGAGAATTTAGAGGAAAACAAGAAGACCAATCAACGACTCCTCTAAAAAAAAAAAATCCAAAGGCCTGACTTGGAAGAACATATTCATTGGTTTACCCATTCCACTGGCCCCTAATATTTTCCAGTCTTGTACTTCCTAAGACTGGCATTTGCTGAAGCAGAAATGTTTTCACAGCACTGGAAATCTTTAAACATTACTGTTAGGAATCCAGTATATTAGTAAATAATATTACACAAAATTAGTAATTCATTTCAATGAAATAGGTGTTCTTTTTTCAACACTAAATAAAATGCATCGACCTCCTATCCTGGTGAGTCCTGCCTCACTAGTGATAGCTCACCTTGACCAGAAGTGATTTACAACATGTTCTACATGGAATATCAAGAAAACACACTTTGAGAAGAAATGAACAGGTATAAGCAGTGGGATATTAAGGGTGTTATTAATCAAGACAGAAGAGAGAGCCAAGGTGAATATTTTGCCTCTCCCAGAGGACTGAAATATAAAACAGAGACTGGTTGCCTAAATATCAGAAGGCAGTCTTCCATTGACCTTCCTTAAGCTTTTCATCATTTTAATTTTGAAGTGAGTAGATTTATAAAAGAATATAAAATTTCATTCTAAGAACCTAACTTTGTATCTAACAAGATGGCTAACTAGTAAATCAAGAAATCACAAGTATGAGCTGAAAAATGGTGTGAAAATGGATTTTTATCTTTAAGTATTTTTTTAAGCTTACTTGCATATCTGATGGATTTTTGAGCATTGCAGGACAATATTACAAAACCAACCTTAAATAAAAACTGTGTTTGAAATTTAATATCCTACTGTAAGAAGAATGGTATATGAGTAAAGTGATGTTACTGAAGACTTCTCTACACTCAGTACTTTGTCAAGAACTTCAGGTGATCAGGAAACAATGTGTGACATGGAATATCAACAGGAGTGGACTATATTTAACAGTACAAACAATGGTAGCCTGTGCTGTGAAACCACTGGAGAGCATTTCAGTTTTTATTTGGATGTAGAATAAACGTACGGAAACTATTCAGAATCAAGATATATTCGTGTCAAGAAAAATTTCAAGGAAGACAGGCAATCTAACTCGTTTCCTAAGGTATGGGTAGAATTTAAGATAAGTGCATTCAAGGTAAGAGGATGAAAAAAATAATAGATGTGAAGAAAACATGGCCTCCCCAAGGGCCTGTCAACAGAAATACATAGCTATGGCAGAGGGTGTGTATAGAAGAGGAATATTATATATGGTTATGTTTAGGTTTGGTTCTGATTTTTAAAGAACTAAAAACCAAGTTGAGGCAAGGGGTGTTGAGGGCTGCATTTATTATCACAGAACTATTATAGATTGCTAAAGAAGGCATATGATAACAAATTAGTATTTTCAGAAGATCTTTCTGGAGGTGGTATGCAGCCTGCATTATAGGAAAAGTACCTTCTGTTAAGGAAATGAGCCAAGAGATTTTGACTCTAATCTAGTCAAGAGGTGCTAAGAGCTTGCACTAGGGCTGCGAATGTGGAGACAAAACCTCAAATCTGAGAGAGATATTTTAAGTAGGAAATGTCAAGACTCAGTGACAGGTTGTGTACATGACATAAAGGTAAAAGACAAGAGTGAAAAAAAAAATTGACTTACAACTTTTTTTCCAGTGAGTGGAAGCATGACAATGCCATGTCTGATAGAATGAGAGAGTTGTAGTAATAGTCTTCAGGAATGAAAATCCATCAGTTAGGCTTAGGATTTAGTGAGATTCAGGACCAGAGGATTCTGAATGTTTTTAGTGTATGTAGGTGCTGTTCTGACTTAGACTGGGCAACTAGCCATCCTTCTATAGGTGAGAGACAAATGACATAAGCCTTCTTCATGGCATGCCCTCTGGAAACCAGGGGTTGGTTCTGTGCACCCAAACGGTATTTCATACACCCACAAATATAATTGTTACATACTGAGCACTTACTATGTACGAGGTCTTGTCCTAAACACATCTGCAGAGATTTATTTTTGCCCCTTTCATGTTCATAACCATCTAATAAACTAGGTATCATCAACTTGATTTGATACATTAGGAAATCTGCCCAAACTGGTTACATAAAATGGTCCACTAGTAAGTGAGGAGAAGAACTTAAGAATCTGGTTGGTCTGACTTACAACAGTCAAGTCATTTCCAAAAGTCATATATAAAAGGAAGTAATAGCTTTTGGGCAAAACCCTGAAATGAAGCCCATCTTTCTGTTTCTCTCTACAATATGTCACTCATGAAACCCATTCAGATAGGCCTTTCCGAAGCCTAGAATTGGTAGTCTCATAACCCAATACTTTTATAACTGCTACTAGCTCTTTGTTCACAGTAATTTCTGGAAAGCGTAAATGCAAAAGAAAGTAAATTCAGTTGTTTAAAGGCAAGCAGTAGTAGTGGATAGTCGTCAGTCAAGAACAGATCCACCGTATGTTGAAATGTTCATGCAATGGCTCAACAGGAATCTGCAAATACTACTAAGTACATAAAGTTGTAAAGTAAATATATCCTGTTTATTCAAGGCACAAAATCAATAATTAAGTCAATGTGTCCCTAAAATTGATTAAAATTAAAAATCCAGAATTGGATAGAGGCTGAAGTGACTTTTGAGATATAGTCTCCTGGATATATAACTTTTAAAAAATTGTACAAGTCTTGTTTTATGCACTTAATACCCATAAGACCCCTGGAGCTCATGGTTTATATAAAATAAGGCTGAGGTTGGCTAGAAGTCTCAGGACCTGAGAGAGCTTAGTAAAAGGGCAGCATTTACCTTTTTCTTTCATGCTTGCTTTGCCTTATTCCCATCAGAGATCCCGGGTTAGCCTGTCTCCTGAGTAGAACTTTGATACCGATTAACTGATTGATTTAGCAATAATTTTGAACAGATATTTAAGACATTCACTGTTTACACAGTGCCATGCCATAGGACACACAAAATCACATTCAGCTATCCGATGATATTAAAGAATAAAATGTTAAGGGTATATCGTCTTATCTGATTTGGGACATACAATCTTTAGATTTTAAAAAAGTACAGTTTATTTAAAAGTGATATCCTTTATCTTCTAAAAGAAGGTGCCTCTTTCTTTTCTTGTAAGGCTAGGGTCAGGAACAAGACCAAAGCAAACGCATAACTTGTGAGTTGTAGGGTTAGGTGTAGTTTCTGGAGTACCAGACAAGAAGAACCATGAAAACAAAAAGGAAGAAAATGAGAAAAACAAAATGTAATAGAAAACAAGGAAAGGAAGAATTTTAAGATGCTTTGAGTACAAATAAGAGACCAATGGCAATGGTACCTTTGAGGACAGTGATTCCCATGACTGGAAAGCGTAGAAGACAGACTTCACAGAGATTAAACAGAGAAAGAAGGAGAGGAATCACATACAGAAAACTCTAACAGTTTTGAAATTTTCCATTAGAAAAGTTAGTGATGTATGTTTTTGGAGTGTTCAAACTGAGTACACACTTAAAAATATTGATTATTTAAGAAATGAAAAAGAAAATATGAATAATAAACCCAAGACAATATTTTTGAAATTTATGAAGAATAGGAATACAATTGGAAATGCAAAGAAGAAGTAATTTCTAATATTCTCTAATCTCAGTTCATGTTAAAGTTAAGATTTAACCAGCAAAATATTCACCATATGAAAAAAATAAGTGGAAACCCCCTACAAGGTCAGAAACAAAAACTACATATTTTTGTAAATGCTTAGCAAAAAACAAACCTGATTTTAAAAAGGTGCATGAATGTTTTAAAAAATGAAGTAGTTGCGATCTTCTTAAAGCTGAGAATTCAATATGTTTGAATAATTCATGTGTGTAATTTGAATCATCGTTAGACATTTTATTATAACAACCACTTTTTAAAAACTATCTTTCATAATTTAGAAAATTTCAAATGTAAATATAATTTAACTAATAGCTGAAAATGATTTCAGAAAATGTGTTCATTTAAAAGAAAGTACTTAATTGTATTTTTGAAGTGTAAGTCAGTTATTTTTCTCATTATTCTGTATACGCACGCATTCGTGTGTGTGTGTGTGTGTGTGTGTGAGAGAGAGAGAGAGAGAGAGAGAGAGAGAGAGAGAGAGAGAGAGAGAGAGAGAACACTTAAGAGAATTGTTTAATCCCTGGCTTGAGGGCAGTACACTGGGGGACACGATGGAGACATTTATTTGCTTAACTGATTCAGTGCCTCCTACTGTTTTATTCTGACAAAAGGAAAAATTTTAGTCCATAATATGAATACTCACTCTATGCTGGAAACAAAACTCCAGCTCCATATATATTTTTGTATTATATTATCAAGAATAGCTATTCTAGAAAATGTGTGATTCTAATTGACCCCCCAAAACTACACATGTAACTGTAGAAGTACCATCTAACATCTGCATTCATTCCAAAATTTTTTTCAAACTAGATTTGACAATCATTGAAACCAGGTAGAATTCGAAAGTTTCCCAGAAAAGACCAATTTATCTCTTCTTTCTTAAGTGTGAACACCATCAGTGACTAGCATTTACAACAGTATCTCTTACACCCTAATGTATTATTGAACAAGAAGGCAACACTACGTGGGGAAGAAGGGTAAAATGAATTTTTAGAAGCATCGAGATCTAAAATATGGCCTCCTTGCACTTCTATCTAGTCATGTGGTTAAGGACAATTTGCTTAATTTTTTTTTTTTGGTCTTTGAGTCTTCACTATATAATTGTATCATTGAAGCTCATTGTTTATTTGTCTAATTCTTTTAAGCCCACAGATTTTGTGAGTAAAATAAATGTACAAGAAGCAAACGAGAAAACTCTTTATCAAAAAGGATCGCGGAGTACAGGGAGAACCAAGTTCTACCCAATCATTACCCTACTCCCATTTGCTTAATCCTCACCATGGCCTCTGATTACCTTCCTGGGAACCTCTAGCTCTCCGTGGAACACAGTTTGAAAACCACAGCATGGTATGATGTCTTAGATTGTCACCAGCTCTAAAATTCTGGATTCTATGGAGACAAATCTGACCCTGAGCCTATCTCTTTGCAAATAAGCTGAAATAAGAAGTTTCCATGGTTTTATGCTTATACAGAGGTTCAGGAAGCCCTTCGAGGGTAGGACTTTAAGAGAGCATGAGATACACAATCTTCAATGGGGGTAAGTGCTGAGATTTGTTTTCCAGTTGCTACTCACTGTGATCTGACACCAAACACAATGCAGTCCTGTCAGGCCCTGGTAACATTTAACAGTTTTGTGGCACTTATCACACTTGGTTGGGCAGTTACCTTCAACCCAGTAATGGTGCATGACCTAGAACAGAATGACATCATTGTGGTAAGAGGACACATCATACAATCGCCAACTTCAGAAAGCAAGCATGGACACAAACTTACATCAGTGTTCTTTTTGGACTTCACATAGGTCTTGATGCAAGAGGGAGGTGCTCTAGCCACACAGCGTTCATGGACTGTGTACTTGCAGACTGAAAGGAAACAGGTACACAAATTCAGAGCTAATCCTGGTCCTGGTTGTAATTTCATAGAGAAAGAATGACATTAACAGAGCCTCATTTCATATCCACTGCTCCCTAATCAATCCAATCAGCCACATCAAGGAGAAGCCCAAGTCGACTGTTTTTACCATGGAATATAAAAGGCCAATTAGTACAGGAAATATTATGCATGTGAAAAACCAAGGCTCCTCTATCATGGCATAGCAGGAAATGCTTAATTAAATCAGTCCTCACTCAAATTTTTCACAATAATTCCCAGATGACAAAATATTAAAGACAAATTGATGACTGCCAAATGGCTTGGTGTCATTTGCTAGAAGGAAGAGATCTATATTTTACAAAGTATAGGCATGAGAGCAGCTGGCGGGCATAGGAATAAAAGCCCATGAGTTTATGCTATTTTGCCTCTTATCTAAACCTTAAATGGCTGATTAGTCTATTTCCAGAGAATAGATTTCATCAGACATGCCAGGGCTTCAGTAAAAGTTCATTCTTCACTTGCCATCATGGCATTGTTTGTCCAAAAGCAACAGCCTTTGCTGGGCGGCATATGCAAAAATTTATGTTACTATGCAAATACATACATACATAAACATAGCAAATATATTTATCTGGGTATGTAAACAATATGTGTCAGAAAACCAAGACATACATTTTCGGCATCTTCAAATTCTTTATGGTTTGAGTCTGAATATGATTTAGGGTCAAATACATGTGTTCTTTTAATGAAATGCAAATTGAGTTCTAAATGCACAATACTTAAAAATAACCATGTGGCCTCCTCAATAAAAACAAAAACTAACCACTCCCTGGAATTAGAATGAAACACACTAAATCCACGCAATATTTATACAGTAAAACTCTTCCAAAATATTCACATCTGTGATTTTCTTTGGCAACACTGAGGGAAAAAGCATGCTTTCTCTTTTCCTCCATATTAAAAATAATATTGAGTATTGCATTCACCACACTACTCAGTAAAAACTTATCAGTGAAATTCTCACTCTTTATACATCATTCATCTTACTTGAGAGATATCATTTTGTTTTATGTGTTCTTACTAACAAACTCTACCGCAAAAATTCCTTTTCTTAAAAATAATAGAACACTAAAAACAAAGTACTTCTTTTGTATATGGAGAACGTTCTAGTGTCACTAACATGTAATTAACCTTTCAAACATGGCTGTCAGAAACCATAATGTTACACATGGCAAATTTCATGTAACTTTATTAAAATCCTTAAATAGTTCAGATACCATATCCATATGTTGCACTAAAACATGGTATTAAATGTCAAATAATACATCTGAGAGAAAGGAAGTTCTCAATCATATTACCAAAGAAACTTCTAGCTAAAAACAAACAAACAAACAAAAAACCTATAAACCATTGATAGTATGGAAGCCATGTAAGAAATAAGATCTAATTAAATGCACAATTATGGGATGTGTTTAATGAACTTGACAAATTCAGTAATTCTTTATAAGAAGAAAAGGTTGGAGAGAGAGAAATTGATGGTTTAATGGAGAACTTAAATGAAGAGGATATAATATCAATATCTACTCATATTTATCAGGACTATCATGGATTGTAAAATTTTCTCAGGTAGACATGCTATAGATTTAAAAATGTTTAGGTGATTTTATGAACTAAATGTTATATGCACTTTAAGAACATTCTCATTGGCAGTACTGAGTTAACAGAATAAAATGAAAATTGCAAAGATGAGTGAACTGAAATTTTAAAAATGTTCACAACTCATTAATCATCAATGCTTTACATTCCAATATCTATTAACCATATATAAAGATTTTCTTTATGGTAGCATTAAAAATAATAGGCTTGGGGTGTAAAATTAGTTTGTATTTCTTGCGATTTCTTAATTTGAATGCAAATCTATTTTTAATCAATTAATGTAACTTTTAAAAAAATACCCAAAGGAATCAACTCATTATAAGGCATCCATGTGAATAAAGTGACTAACTTGTGTAGAGGTTGGGGGAGGCCAAATACGAATAAGATATAAGCATAAAAAACTAGTGAAAATCTTCAAAATAATCCCAGAAGAAATGGGAATCATGAATAAATTAAACTACAGTGGAAAGAAAATCACTGAAGACTTGGAAAATGTCCTTCATTCTTTTCCAAGGGTAGGCTTTTCCAAAACTGAAGAAATAAGTTAGAGTTACCTAAACATTCAAAAACACACTACAGAAAAATATAAATCACATGTGCAGAGATGGTCCAGATCGGTTTCTAGGTCTCCATCTACAAAATCAGACCATTCCATGAAATCCACTTTTGCTCAATCAAGGGGATGATGTCCAAGCAGAGCAAATGTACTCACAGGAACAGCAGAGGCCCTGCTTCCCCACGCCAATCAGCATATTCAGGCAAAGGTTGCAATAGGCAGGTTTGTTAAAGTGCTTCAGTCGCCACACGTGCTGTCCATCATCCTTCACGTTCTGCATGGGACAGTAAGAGAAACAGATTTCACTTAATGAAATAAACAGTGAAAGATGTAAGTGCCAATAAAACTCAGAGCTGGACTGAAGCATGTGAAGACAATCTGTTATTTCATCCCTGACTTTCTCCAAGATCACTGCAGAGCCTTTAGAAAAACACATGTGCTCTAGTGAAATGAGATAATGCTAACAAATCACCGATGCTATAGCAACCCACAAATTCTTGTCTAACATCAACAGTTCTGCAGCATACCCCAAGCCATCATCACAACCTGCCACATGGATCAGGGACGTGACTGCCTCTCCTTTAAATACTTTATCCTTATCACAATTCCATAGACAAATAAATGAATAAAGAGAAAGAGAAAATACCCTTCAGTCGAAGAGCCTGATAAATAAGAACTTGCAAAGATGTCATTAACCCTGGATTACTAGTAGTAACATACAAAATTCTTGATGGTGATCAGGTCATGTAAGGTGGCAGAGGAATGGGATGGGATGGAAAACTAATACGAAAAGGTAAGTTATTGGTGATATTCCAGGGCTTCATTTGAGAATCCCATATTCCAATTTATATTAATATGTTGAGTATGCTGCAAATAGTGTATTTTAAAAGGTAAACTTTTTGAAGGATTTATGTATGTTACCATTGTGGTTACTCCTCTCTTATAAAATATAAGTAGTTTAAATCTGACAGAAAGATAGTAAAAACATTAAAACTGTATTAATATTTTTAATATTAACAATCACTATAGTTATTTGCCACATTACAACCTTGAGTTTAAATTAATTCCCACTTAACTAAAAAACTTTCACATTTTTTCTCTTCTGAGTAAAACTCTCTCTATCATAATAGCTACTCCTGTATGTGTTTAATCACAGCTGCACTGTTCAAGATTAAAACAAAATGAAATAATATGATGCTTAGGAATCTCTTAAACTCCTTACAAGAAGGTCAATATATTAAATTAAATTATTCTGTATCATTACTTTTGCTTTTACTTTTTTCTCCATTAACATTTACTTTTTGTACTCTAATCACCAAATCATATGAAACAGTTTAACATTTATTGGTATGCTATTGAAAACGTTATTTATCATAATTTTTCAGGTTAGCCAAATTGTCATATTTCTTAGAATACATTCACCTAATAATTTTTTTAGCACCTACTAAGTGCTTGGGCACTAACATTAGTCCCGTAGTAGTGAGACAATATAAATATATTCAGAACGTCTTGTTTCTCTTGATAATAAAATATTAATAATAATGCTCCTAACAACTTTTCCTATTCCCAGGAAAAGGATAAACCACTAGATTTGTAATACTAGAGAAAATCTATAGTAACTAATTCTTACATTGGAACCAAAAATGTCAAATTTGCATCATAACATAAAATATTAATGAAATGCTTCCTGGGCGATAATTCTCAGTGGGTCGCTTGAATTTCCTCATGTTTTGCAAGCAGAAGCACCGTCCTTTCTTATTCTTTCTTTTTAAGACTATCTTTTCAAAGACGTTTGAGTAATAAATAACCTAACCTTAGTCAACAGAGACGTGTCTCCCTCCAGAGGAGGGTGGCGGTTTACTTACTATACTTGCAGTATAATAAAAATAATCACTCCCTTGTAGGCAAAGGTTAAACGGGTTTGTTTACTACACGTTACGACTCCTTTAGCTTTCCTAAGCCAAGGTTTCCAAAACCTGATGCTATGCACAAACATTACTTGGGTTCCACTCTGTAGTTCCCATGAGACTTTGGAGGCAAGGTGAACTCACACTTGAAGCTCCTGTTGCTTGCTTTGCTGTGAATACAAAAGTCCATTGTCTCTGACTTGGGAGTCTTATGTCCTCTGGGAGCATCCATAAAACTACAGCAAGCTAACACACTAACTTCTAATAGGGTACATTTTGGACCCTTTACAATTCTTGACAATGCTCAGATTTACCTTTCTGACAAGAGACTAACAAACTCAACAAACACAGCTATGCAGGTGTCATACAGAAAACTTCAGAAAACACAGGTGTTTCCATTTTCTTTTAAAACCCAGGAAATAGGCTTTGTATTAATTTCTGAATATCATTTTCTGGTTTGGGTGAGTCATAGATTTCTAGTAGCTTTACCACATGAATAGAATACTTTATATATTTAACTTTGCTATATTTTCAAACCTGTCTATATTTTAAAATTTCTATTCCCACAAATAACATTTAAACATCCTTATGTGGAAAGGTTAAACATGGGGTTGTTAATTTTTTAAAAACAAAATTAATATTTTAAAAATTGAAAGTAGTAGCTAAGTGCTGAAAAACATTTTAAAGGGACAAAAATCTAATTTTCTTATGTATTACTGTTCCTGTAATTCTTGTCATTTTATTTTTAAATGGTTGCCCATTACATGTGAATAAGCTTCATCCTTTGAAGAACACATATGGACTAAGTTAGCTGGCATTTTCCTTATCAAAAAATAAACAAGTCTGAGCGTGGGTGTTCTGTCAATCAGAACACTTAGCCATGTTACAGGCTGCAACTGATGTACAAATCCATTACCCAGGCATAAAATGCTTTACCAAAAAAACAAATTAAATAGCTTTATAGCTCTTAGCTGGATACATTGCCAAAATAGTCAAGGGATGAAATATGTATGTGACTTCTTAAAGAGAAGAAATTGAAACCAGGAGCCAATTACTTCTCAGCAGTGCGAATTATACTCCAACTCTCTCTATTTTCATGTCTTGTCTTGTTTATCTTACTTAGATTGTAAACTTAAGGGAAAAGGGGAAGAATCTGTCCCTTATATTCTATCAGCCAGTACAGCATACTCCTATTAGTACTTCTATTGAAAAAATATATTTATTGCCAAAAAGGGAATTCATTTTTTATAAAACAGAAATAAGCAAGGCACCCAGCAAGGCTTGATTCTTGGCCTGCTATGAAAATGTGGGTAAGCCATTTCACCTTTCTTCTTATTTTCCTCTCTCATGAAATGAAAGTACCCACTTCCCTTCTGCAGGCCATGGTGTGAGGTTTCATTATACAAGACCTGTGAAGTCAACTTGGTTTCTCGGAAGACTGGTGTTACATAAACAGCAAATACTATTACCCTCATTGGGTTGAGTTGTGTAACATCCCAATATTTCCACCAAAAAATTGGAGAAAGAGACATAAAATTTCACTTTATTTTATTAAGATTTGCTCTTTTTTCATCACCAGACTTAACACTGCCTATTATAATGAGGCAGTTCAGGTCTGTACTTACAACAGAGAAATGCTTAATGAATCCTAGGCTACTCCATGCTGAGAAGGAACTTTACGTTTTTTCCCCAACTCTTACTTCCCTAGAAGGCAAAGCGATATTTCAAACGAAATAATGCTCTTCAGAACTGTTAAAAACCTATTTCATTATCCTAGTGATTTCTAAGGTTTTAGTTTTTCCATAAATACTTGCAAGATCACATAAATGTTCAAGTGAACTAGGGCTGCTTTAAATAACTGTTTTTCAGGAGACCTCAAGGAGAAATTTCACTGACGTCCTAACCCAAAAGCTTTTCTCTCCCCACACCTAGCCATGTTTCAACTGACTTAACTTACATATATATGAGCTAATGTTACAAATTACTTCCAACTCATTCAATAATAAAGACCATTAAATTACCTTCTTTTTTTTTTTTTTCAAGTTCTCAAAAAATTACGACAATGTGAAAGAAACTTCTCTTTTAGACAAAAAGATGAGCTGTATTAGGCCTGGACATGGAGAATGCAGAGAAAAGGTTTACAATTCTAAGGGGAGTTTGTCATCAACTGTTCATCTCCAGACCACACATTGTAAGGTCATCTGCCATTTCTGAGGCTCAAATGCAAAATCAACAGCAGGTAACAACACCACGTAGTCATTTTTCTTAAATGACAAAATCTGGAATCCCAAGACGTTTTGCATTCATCTGGTTTTGTAACTGTTTTCTAGATTGAGCAAGGTATAGACAGCAGAACAAAAATCCTTAAGCAAACTAAAAACTTTTAAAAAGTTATGTGCTGAATATCAGTTTCCAAAAGATAATTTAACCTACTAAGAATACATCGTCTTCTGTCTTCTACTCTCCATCACTCAAAAATTTCATCAGAGAACATATTGTATATTACTTTATTAAGAGGAAACAAAGGTGTTCTAAACCATCTCAATTAAAGGTAAAGCTTAAATGACCTATAAGAATTGAAGACCAGGATTTAATGCAAACATATGGTGAGACCAAAATAGAAACCATCCAGAAACCATACAGGCTACATATGGGTACGACAATCCACAACAATGTAAGGTATCCCTATTTCAAGCTAGGCTTCTGCTTAAATGTGAGAATTTCTCTTCTCCCTATAATATAAATTCATGACTTTTCCTTGAAAAATTCAATGATGAGCCAAACTTACAGATTTCAGAAATTGAAGAATTATTAATTATCTTGTTCATGCAGAAAGAGTATTAGCAAAGACTAACTTATTTTCCTGAGCAACTCTTCATCTTTCCAGAGAGAGCAACTGCCTGGCACAAAATGACCTCGTTAGTTAATAACAGAGCCAGAATCTGTTATTTGATCAGTTTGATGACTTTCACTGCTCCTATGCTAACTGTCCGTTAGTCCTCATGTCTTGCTGTGGCTGTCTGATTGTGCCAAATAAAAGGTATTAGATTCCTTTCTCCCAAATGATTTAAAATAAATTAAAACTTTTTCTGTTTGTAATCTGAGATATTGGCAAACTACCGCACTGACTCAAACCTGGCCAGCAACCTGTTTTTCTACAAGAAGTTTTATTGAAACACAGCTTTTCTGGTTCATTTACATAATTTCTGTGATTGAATTTATGCTGGAAGAGCAGAGTTAAGCAGAAGTGGCTGAGACCTTATGGCCCCACAGCTAAAATGACTTAATATCTCTCCCTCTGCAGTTTCCAATCACTAGAACAGAGTCTACAACTAGACAAAGTTATTTAGCAAAGAAAAACATTTTAATTACATGGGATTTTTTAAAAACCCAATTCTCCAATGAGATGAATTCTGAAGGAAGAATGATTAAGTCTCAGATATTAATTTTTACTGTGGTAATCAGAAACATGAAGCCATCTAAATTCTCAATATTCCTTCAAACGTAAAAGACACCAAGACACTATACGATTTTTCATCCATACATCTTGGATTTCGTAAAGTTTGTAGAGCCTCTTCTAAGAAATGGCTCTTACTCTCCAGCATTTGGATTAGAATCTGGTCCTGATCAACTCCATGTCTGATTTTGGTACCAAAACAGATATTCTTTAAAATTGACTAGCTTTTAAACTACTGTTGATGGAGAAAAATAAATTACAACGAAATCGTAACTGTTGGGACTTCTATTAGACGTGAAGATTACTCTCCCAGGACTACTTCCTTTTCTGTGTCATTTGGCTAAGATACCACAGTCACTTTCAAATACACTGTGGTATTTTACATGCACTATCAATTAGAATCTACTCCCTGAGCTCATAATTGACAACAGACAATAATATCTACAACAATATAACAAGGCAAGCTTCACAATAAATGGCCAACTTCCAGCTGCAGTATCTAGATTTTCAATTAAACAAGCAAAGGTGAGGGGATAGAACCATGTATCAAATTCTCTACAGGCAATAATATAACACATTAACTGTCTACGGAAAGGAAATACATCTCAATTACTAAAAAAGTCTCCCATTACTCAGTTGTCTTGGTGTCATTCCTGCTTTTTAAAACAATTACCATGCCTTAGAATTAAACAGCTCTAACAAATAGATGCTGTATTTTGTGATCATTACATATGATTATACGGCTTATACATTTTATTAAAAGATAGCTTAAAATGTGAGTGGCTTTCTTTTATAAAAAAATGAAAGAAAAGGGAAATTTCTCCTTTTAAAGTTGTTCTTTACAGAGATGGGGGGCAAAATCTAATCTCAGATTTAAGGTGCTCTCTTAAGGTTAAACAATGTGACTCTGCCATCTAGTGGCCATTTCTGGGAACACAACTCTGGAACACAGCTCTGATTGCTATCCTAAAACCCTAAATAGATTTATTTTATTTAGCTCCCAAAACTCCCATTTTGCTAAAAACATTTTTAAAAAATCACAAACACGATTAGAGGGTAAATTGTTTATAATTAATAGAGTGCACCTTAAATGCACAGAACTGCCTTACAGTTGAAATAACACTACGCTAGAAACTAATGAATTTTTTTAACTCATTAGTTAACTGATTAATATTTGTTTAAAATACTTTGAGTTAAATTCATATAGATTTGTGGACTCTATTACCTGTGCTAATTTTTATAACTTCACAAATATCTACATTTATAAATTGAATACTAAATAATGTATCAACAATAGTTTCCAAATAAAAACATCATCATTTCAAAACATCTCTTGTAATCTTTGAAATACAGGCCAGTGGGCTGGGTGCAGTGGCTCATGCCTGTAATCCCAGCACTTTGGGAGGCCGAGGTGGAAGGAACTCGAGGTCAGAAGATCGAGACCATCTTGGCCAACATGGCGAAACCGCATCTCTCCTAAAAATACAAAAATTAACTGGGGGTGTTGGCACATGCTGTAGTCTCAGCTACTCGGGAAGCTGAGGCAGGAGAATTGCTTGAACCTGGGAGGTGGGGGTTGCGGTGAGCCAAGATGGTGCGACTGCCCTCCAGCCTGAAGACAGAGTAATAATTGTGTGTGTGTGTGTGTGTGTGTGTGTGTGTGTGTGTGTGTGTGTGTAGGCAACTGACTGTCCCTTTCTGCACTTTTCTGTCCCACCCTCGACTACCAAATGATTTGCTTGCTCATTCCTACATCTTCCCTCCTCTATCATCTTCAAATTTCTATAAATACTTAGAATATAAAACTTTTAGCTTTACCAACATAACATTTCCTTCTAGAGAACCATTATTATTGGAATTTTATCACTGAAGTCATCTGACAACAATTTTTCAGGATTAATTATACATTAAACCTTCAAATGTCAACATTTTGTCAATTTTTCTTTTGTTTTCTCTCAGTAGTCTGATTTACATACTGCTTTTTGTCATAAGGTACATGAACAATTAAATAAACATAAATATCTCTATAGTATACATATATAATTTATTTACTTATATATGTATACTATAGAGATAAATATTATGGTATAAAAAGATAGTTACATGTAGTATAAGACCTTCAGGTACAAAGAAATATTGTTTCATGAGATTTTAAGTCTAGAAATATATATCTATTAACAATAATATATATATTCATTTTATATTTACATAAATTAGTTTTTTCCACGTATCACTCATTATTATTTTATTGTTTTCCATCCTCTGACCATGTCTCAAATCCCATGGGCCTCATAAAAGGTAAGATTCAACTGAGTTTAGAAGAATTTGAAGATCCAGGTAAAAAAGGGACAAATGGTAATCTCTTGAAGCCCATTATTTATTCCCAAATTGATACTTATTCCTAAACCCTCAGCTCATTTGTATACTCCTAAAGCCCATTTATATATTCCCAAACCCATATGTGCCGACATATTTTTATATACACTCATATGTTTCACAAACACAGTAAGATATCTTGAGAAATGACTTTTAAAAACTTGGTGTCTTGAATAACTATGATATAGTCTTGAATCTGTAAAATTGTTTCAGCTGGTAACTACAAGTATAAAAAGTTTGGGGTTTGGCAGCAAAGCGGTGAACACTATGTTCTTACATCCCAAGACTCTAAATATTACAATGTCATTTTGCTTTGCAGCCCTAATGTTCTTTGAAATTAAGTATACATATTACTGTATACATATTATATCTGATTTTAATATAACTATTAATGCTGAATTCAAAAATCTAGCATCCACTATAGACTTCATCAGATTTTTAAATTAACAATAACTAAAATCCACTTCAAGGCTGGGTCAGCAAGATTTGCTTTCAAAGTTATTATATTGCATTCTGATCTTTGGCTTATTTTGTTCCTTCACAACAGTATTTACTTGCAACCAGAGGAACTACTAAAGGAATCTTTTCACAGGCATAGAATGAGGACCTAGCTGATGCTGATACAAGAACAACTTATGTTTATATAGGTTGGTGCAAAAGTCGCAGTGGCAGAAACCACCCATGACTTCTGCACCACTATTCTTTAAACCACTGCAGATATTTAACTGCTTCCTCCAAGTACTGGTTATCAATAAAATAGATTACCTTTATGGGTAGAAGGAATAGTGAACTAATGAATCACCACAGGAGACACAGAACACGATAATATTGGGGAGTCTCTTGCTTTAGATAATATGAGGAGGTCAGTATCTTAAAAACACTAGATTGTACTTTAAACAGAGGAAAACAAAAGAGAGAGAATATATTTTTAATCCTAAAGTAATACCTAAATTGAATCAATATATATGTGGCATCTATGTAAGAAGTTACTGTCAAATTGCACGATGGCATACTTATTAAAAGTTCCAGGCACTCACTACATGCTTAACGGTAGAAAAAGGGTCAGATCAATTTGCAATAAAAATGTGTCATGGAGAACCCCACTGACTCACCACCAGGCCACCCTACTCTGTGTAAATGCTTACATTTTCCAAGCCCAGGAGCACAAGAAGTGGAATTGTTGTCATTCCTCCTTGAATCCATTCCTCCAGGGACACGGTTCCATCATGATCATAGTCTATTTCTTCCATCATTTCATGGAGAATCTGGAGTAGAGGAGATAAAGGAAAATTCATGATCAATCAATAAAATAAATTTCATATGCTATAACATAGGAAATTGGGACTATGAGCTAAGTGGAGAGTTGGGATAAATGTCTTGGTAACTCAGTACAACATTAATTCTATTACTAATGAAGAAATGACTTTGCTAGGATTTCTTTTTTTTTTTTTTTTTTTTTTTTTTTGAGACGGAGTTTCGCTCTTGTTACCCAGGCTGGAGTGCAATGGCGCGATCTCTGCTCACCGCAACCTCCGCCTCCTGGGTTCAGGCAATTCTCCTGCCTCAGCCTCCTGAGTAGCTGGGATTACAGGCACGCGCCACTATGCCCAGCTAATTTTTTTGTATTTTTAGTAGAGACGGGGTTTCACCATGTTGACCAGGATGGTCTCGATCTCTCGACCTCGCAATCCACCCGCCTCGGCCTCCCAAAGTGCTGGGATTACAGGCTTGAGCCACCGCGCCCGGCCTTTGCTAGGATTTCTAAACCTGGCCCCTTACACTGATCACTTTTTAGAAATGAGTGCTTAACTTTGTAATATTTTTCCAATGAACAGCACAGCTAAAACCAGAAGGTATCTTTAAGTGTGAAAGTGGTCTTTTAATCACTTTTGCCAGATTATTTTTTAGATTTGTGTATCTGCCAGAAAATGTCTGAACAAATTAACTTCATGGCAAAGAGCTCATATAATTCTTCGCTAAATAGTAAGGGGCGAGGGAATTTAGTTGCTTTTAATTGCCGATCAGAATTTAATAGAGTCAAGAAGTTAAAGGATCAAATCATGTTTAATTAAACTTTGTTTCTAAAGATGACTTGCACGTAATGTCTTAAAGTGTTCTCTGCAGTGTTTGTTTGCATTACATTTACTTCTCTGTGGTATGGTGACAATATCAGAACTCATCTAGAAGGGTTCTTGTGAGGACTGCATAGGCTAATGTATTATAAGTAGATGAGCCCCGGCATATACAGCAAGGGCCATACAGTGTTCTGTTGTTATTAATGGAAAATACATGTGAGTTCCAAACATAGTACCCTTGGTTGCTGGGAAAGCAAAGTACTTCCCATCTAATGCCATCAAGATGGCACACATAGTAAGAATGCTAATGAAGAAAGGGACTCACTATCTTTATACAATACCAAAATGTTAATCAATTTGGAAACAGAAAGAAATGCAGAGTGCATTAGAAAAGAGACTGGAAAAGACACAATGCATGAAAAATCCGATTTGTTGGTGGAAGTATTGTCTGCCTAAACACTCCTGTGCTTGGCGTCTTTGCTCAGGAAGTACTGTATTTCAAAGTTAGATTATTGTTCTTCCCCTGGCTTTCAAGAGCATGCTGATAAATTAGTGGAAATATATACACCATAAGAGAAGTGAAACGATGACATTTATTTTAGATGGGTGATGCTTTCCTTTTTCTACCTAATAAATGTGATGTTAAAGCCATCTTCTGACCACAAAGAATTAAGATTGAACTGAGGGTAGAGCCTGGCTTAATTTGATAAAAACTTCCAGGGACACTTGAGTCTTCTCCCTACAACAATCAACCTCAAACGTTCACTTCTCTGTATTTATATGTGCAAACCTATCAGAAGCCTGCTGATGTTTACATTTCTTTACAGTGAGAACTATTGAAGACTTAGGCAAGATGATGAGGCAGTTCCCAGGGCAGCAGACATCATGTACGACTTTGTACCATTTCAGCTCCCTGGAATAGGAGCAGACTTGGCAGAAACGCACCGGTCAAGTAATGTTACAGATTACTTGTATTCTCCAGTCAATAATCTGACAGTAGGTATCTGTTGCAGAAAGACTACTCAGCCACCAACTGTCTTCTTCTCCTAGCATCCCGATCTCCCCTTTCTCAAGTCCACACACGCACCCACACACACACCAAAAACACTTTTATTGAGAAGTGGTAGTGGCCACTGTTTTGAAACCTGAATGGAGAAACAAATCGCCCATCCCGGCTCCCTCTAGTGAGCACAAACTGGCTTGACTGATAGATGACTAATCTGTACAGGTAGAAAGGTGAACAGGAGAGGAGAAAGCTGTTGTAGATTAGCATAACCAAAAAAAGCAACAGAACGAATAAGCAATCCCTGACTTTCAGTGAAAATAATATTAAGGTGAGTGAAACAATAAATTAAATACATGTTACCATCTACATTATTAGCCCATATAGAAATGGTAACCTGTTAATGACATCTGCCACTCCCTATAAGCACAGCATATACATTTCCCAATAGTTGATTTAAAACTGGAAAAATCCAAATCCTATTAAGAATAGGGAAATGCTGTCACTGTTCTTGCAGCATGTAATCATGCCATTATCCTGTGGTTTACTGCATAAATGTGAACAGAGGTTAATATACACTTCTTGAGTTTGGATAAAATGCAAACCATTTAAATAAAATTTATTTATATTTGCTTTATATGCACTTTGATAAAGATTTTAAAAATAATATAAACTCAATATCTCTTATTAACTTTCCCCAAAATATTTTTTGTGGCCAAAGTTATGGTTTCAAGTCAAGTATATTTTAATATATATTTGAATAATATTGAAATTTTGATGTTTATTCAAAACAACAATTCTATTTTCTTATAAGCATTTTTAGATACTCTTTCTCTAAACAATTTAATTTAAAATTCCTGACTCTAACTAGCTGAAGAGCTTTGGGCAAGTAATTTTAACATATTTAGGTCTCAATTTACTCCTCTGAAAAATGAAAAAAAAAAAAAGTGTATCTACCTCAGAGAGCTGAAGGCACTGTATAACATATATATGCAAGGTAATACAATGCACTGTGTGTAGAAAACCACGATCTTCTTTTATGGCATGGCCTGACCTTGCCGTGTCTATCAGCACCTTCTGCTTATCCACATGTTTGTAAGATCACCATTCAAAATAATTGCCGCGAGGAAGAAAGCAAAAGCTACTTTTAAGAGCTTCAGAGCTCCACATATACCTTGTTATCTTACTCAGAATCCACTTTGACTTCAAATTCGAAATAGTAACTTAGTTATAAAAAGCCGAAATCAAACGACAGGAATATATCAGAGTCCCAGAAAAGATGAAAGAAAAGAAAAGAAAAGAAAAAGAAAGGAAGGAGGGAAGGAAGGAGGGAAGGAAGGAGGGAAGGAAGGAGGGAAGGAAGGAGGGAAGGAAGGAGGGAAGGAAGGAGGGAAGGACGGACAGACTTCCATAATTTAGCCAATAGTGAAATCATTCATATACCTACTGGATTAAGTTCAGTGACATCCCACTCAAGGTATTCTGCAACATGCATCATCTGACTGATGATATTTTCTAGCTCCTGGACAAGAAAGAGAGAGAAAAAATATGAATCCAAGATCTTAGTAACTTTTAAATTTTCACTTACAGGAATTGTTTCGTTCAATGTACAGATAAAAAATTTAAATGACTTATAGGGAAATATATATAAGCCATTTAAATTTTTATGTACTTTAAAAAGTACATAATCCTTTTTAAAGGTCTAATTAACTATATAAAGAAAAGAGAATCCTAAATATAAATCTATCTTGTGCATTGTCTAGCAATGTTCACCAGGAGAGGGCACAACTATACAAAAAATATATTCTCTTCAACTAAAAGAGAGTGTCTGAAGAAAGCAGGAGCAGATATATACTGCAACAAATGATCTTTAAGTCACTGAATTCCCTGATCCTTTGGCTTGGAAACGGATATGAAAGGGTGGAAAAAAGCAATTGAGAACAAGTGAGAAGTGTATTTTTATCTTGATACATTGAGAATTTATACTGACTGTTTTAGTCATGTATTGAATAATTTTGCTAGAAGTATGTTCAGGGTCAAGGTTTGCAGGACAAGTATACATAGCATTTATTTTCTAAGAGGATGAAATATTGCTTGAATTTCCATATTATTCTGCTCTATTATCAATTCTTTGAAGAACTTCAAGTTAATACATATGACTGAAATTAAAACATTTTTCATATCTATTTACTTAATGATTTAATTTTTCTCTATCTGCAGAAAAGATTAAACATGGCTTTGTAAAATCCTTGTAATTTTAAATGAAAATGTGACATAATTTGAAAAGTGGTTTTACAGTATGTTTTAAAATGTATGAAGCATAAAAGAGTAAAGCTTGAAAGTTCCTTAAAGATTATTCTAACCAAATCTCTAATCCAATATATGTAGTCAATTTTCACAGAATGGAGAAGAAATATGATCAAACAGATTCTCTTCTGGGGAACCATGGTTCCCTCCAAGGAACTAATAAATTTTCCACTCTCCAGAAAAAAATATAATTCTCAATATGTTATTTAAGTAAGATAGGCTGTCCCAGAAGCAATACAAACAGAAATGTATTTATTGTAGATTAACAAATTTTAAATCATAAATCCCTTTGAATTATAGGTTTAAGTGCACGTGTGCACGCAGACATTACTCATCTGTCACCTACTCTATCTTTGCTTACATATGCCTTAATGGTTTGGAGATGTTGAAGTCCCTGGGTATCTCTTAAGAACAGAAACTATTTTTAGTGGACTGTTAGTTAGGCAAGTGATATTAGGTGAGTCATCCCACCTAAGACACAGTTTTCTCATCAGTAAAATAGCTACTCTAACTTTACCTTCTTCATACGATTGCTGCAAAGATTAAACGTGTTATTATACAAAATATATTTATTTTGTTGTTTGGCATATTGCAAATGATCAACAAATCTTAACTATTATTAGAAATACTGACCATTGGCCTGGCACAGTGGCTCACACCTGTAATCCCAGCACTTTGGGAGGCTGAGGAGGGTAAATCACAAGGTCAGGAGTTTGAGACCAGCCTGGCCAATATGGTGAAACCCCATCTCTACCAAAACTACAAAAGTTAGCCAGGAGTGGTGGCACATGCCTGTAGTCCCAGCTGCTTGGGGGGATGAGGTAGGAGAATTGCTTCAACCCGGGAGGCAGAGGTTGCAGTGAGTGAAGATCACACCACTGCACTTCAGCTCCATTCAGCAAGATTCTGACTCAAAAAAAAAAAAAAAAAAAAAAAGAAATACTAGTCATTTTTCAAAAGATCACTTCCTTTCTGTTTTGCCCCCAGTAGGTGAACTGCTACACCTTAAAGGTACAACACATGATATCAGAAGGTACAATGTAAACCTGACAGTGAAGGAAAAATACGGGAGCAGTAGGTATTGCGGAGGAAACCCTAGAAATGAAATCCAGACCTTTAATTACAAAAAATAGAGACGAGTTTAGCCAAGACTAAATATATTTATCCCCAACTCATTGCATAGTATTGGGACTATAGTTCTAAATATTTCTAGTCATCTGCTGTATATACTAACAAAAAATGGCCAAGAAAAAATAAAAGCATTCAGCTGAATTTTCAAATCAACTGCCAACCCATGGCTAAAGCCTAGTAAAGAATCATCATTTTAAAGTAATTAGAAAACAAACACGACATATAACAACTCTACATTAAAATATAATTTATATTAGTGTAGTCACAAGTGCTATAATAAGCATAGAAGGTATCAAAATTTCTAGTGGTGAAACGGCACCAGAAAATGAGCAAATTTATTGTGTAGTTTGATATTTCTAACTGGGAAACTGCAGACCACCAGGCACTTAAAAATAATAGCATCTGAAAAATTACTGAGACTTAAACACAATAAATCCCACAATCACAGCACCAATTCAGAGCAATGGTCATTTCCTACAGGAGTTATATATTTTAATTTCTCTCTGGAGAAGCTAATATACCATTATCCTACTCAAAGTATCACAAATACACTTCCAACTTCATTGCTTTGCTTTTAAAAAGCCTATCTGAGCTGCCACAGGGAGGTCCATCAGATGAGGAGAAAAGCTCACTCACTTTCAGAGATCATGTCTATTTCGGTCATTATTAAATATATCAAAACTTTTATTTCTTAATGATATTAAATATGTTTTACATGTACACTTCAAAATTTCCATAATATGACACTTACTCTATTAGTATTCTTACCTTTCCTTGAAGAACAAGAAATAATATAACATGTAAAACATGTTACCAAACATAAGGTAGATTATTGGATGGAAACTGAGATGGACTTTCCTGTAAGGTACTGATCTGTGCACTAGGACTAAGAACTACTTTCTGTTTCCCTGAAACCTAGCAATGATTTCCATACATTACAAATAAACATTCAATTATTTCTTTCAGTTAACCACATAAAGATGGTATTTTCTTATCTTTTCTGACTGCAACTATACAACGTTAGTTGAATATTAAATTGGATGAGTTATTTAAAAGGCAAAGTTTGTGAAAGCAATCTATAAAAATATTTACCTATTTCAGCCGCATATAGGACTAAAGATACCTTGTAAAACTGGGAAAATAATGAGATAATTAAATTGACTTTATAAATCCTTTAAATTCTACTGATAATCTCAAGTTTCCTTAATGTAAAATGTTACGGATAGTTTTTCCTTCATTCTAGATCAATGATTTCAACTTAATCTTATGTTTTATTCATATGAGGCTGGTGTCTTTCTTTTTTTACCTAACTTCAGTGCAGGAAAAAAAAAAAAGTCATGTCATGGTAGCAGAACTATCCAACAGAACAAACTGTAATCCTGACAGTTTCCTCAGATCACTCTCTTTCAAACAGTCAAAAGATAAAAATACCATATGAGTGGATGTCAATTACATTAAGTGTGCCTTCTGTGGTAATAACTATAAATTTATTCATTGCATTTTTCAGAAGAAACTCTGAAATTTTCTCAGATAATTTGAAAAAAAAAATTACCGAGCTGTCCAGAAAGCCATTCCCATCCGTGTCATAAAGGCGAAACATAACTAGAATAAAAGAGGTATTGAAAACAAGATTATAGGCAAATAAGATCAATGTTAGTTTAACGTATATTCATTAAAATTTAGTTAGCATTGAAAACAGATACTAAACTCCACCCCTACTCCAAACAGTTAATTTGTGGGATTATTTCCCAAACTAAATTGAAAATGAATTAATCAGCTAATAGCAATACTGGTTAGCACATACACAGTCGATCAAATTTTGTGTGTATCTAGGAGATGCTAAAAAGCACTATTATTTTTTCAAACTCTTTATTGGAAGATCATTATAAGTCAACGCAAAAATAAAAGAGAAGTTGAAATACTCAAAGCCTGGATATTAAAGAGCAGAGTGCATAAGGAAAAACAAGTCATGTGAAATTTTAGAAATCAATTATAATTTGAAATCCACCATTCACTATTACAAGAACTTGATCAAAAACTCTTTTATCTGTAAATGAGAATAATCATTCTACTGTAACACATATTTACTGTGAAAGTTAAAGGAGGTGACAGACACAAAAGCGAACCAAAAGCTATAGAGGATGGTACAAATTGATGCCATCATTAGGATTGATCCCCAAGCAGTATGGGGGAGGAAGGAGGAGTGCACAATAACGGATTCTTTCTGATGGAGGAAGCCAACTCAGAAAAATTGCATTATGATCATGGCTCTCACGGTTTATTTGTTTAAATCTGAGATAAAGCTTCAGAGGATAACTGATCTTTGAACTAATCAAATCAGGAAAAGGAGAACACTGGCTCTCTGTTAGGGGGTTCAGGAAAGCAGATGACAGAGGTCCCTGATGGGCCTGAGGATTCCCTTGTATGATTCACGTTATCTCCAGGAGGCTGTGGAAGAGGCTACAGGTGCCATTTTGAGATAAACAGAGAAGAAAGACACAGCTGTAAAAATAGAAGAATGGAAGTAAGGGTTTATCTTGGGTTTGTATAATTTCCTGAATGATCTTAAAGTCTGAAGTCTATAATATTAAAGACGTAGATAACTATGAGGTATAACTACACAACGACCTTGATAGTCTATCTGTAGGTGATGATTTTTGTATGTAATGGTTACTGCATTTCAGCAATTCTAACACATTATTATTTATAAGATAATTAATCTATGGCTAAAAAGAAAAAAGTTAGTAATATAACGATAATATTCTATTTATTGTAAAATGCAAACAAATGTTAAAGAGCTAAAGTGTAAGAAAACAAACGTCTGTCTATTGACCTAAGGGTGATAATATCAAGCCAGCTGAAAGACTTAAATATCTGTATTTGTAAATCATGGTAATTATTCCCCTTCATATAGACAATAAATGAAATAAAATGCAGAAGGAAAAAGCAACTTACAACATTGTGGATACTAAGCATTTCAACAGATTGTGGTGCAGCAGCAAAGAGTGAAAAATACCTTCATAAATGGCAAGAAAATTAACTGACTACTCAGAGAAAGGATTAAGTACCAGGAATAAGGCAAATACCTACAAAAGCCTAAATATATTTTAGATTGAGAGACATTTATGACTCGGTTAACCCTTATTGGAGTAAATGACTGCAAAACGACCATTTCATGTCACTCGAATATGTGGAAACCCTGTTCCTATTGATTGACCTTACTGGGAACATGAGCTCAAAGAACATGCGTGGCAAGATATATGGATATTGAGCATTCATTATTGAAAGTGTCTGAAACTCCTTCCTACATTCTGAAAATCACACTTTCTGAGGACCATTAGAAAATGAAAACTCTGGATACCTTTTCTTTACTGATTCTGTGTGCTCCTAAGTATCACTTTAAAATAATAACATGCTTTACTAAAAGCAACCAGTTAAAGTAAACCTGATGCTATGTATTTCCCAAGGATCCTGTGTATTTAACAATGGTTTTAAAAATGAACTTACTATTGAAATATTACACTTACAGATGAATGCATGATTTAATACCTTATTAAAGTGTACACATCATTATCTTGATGTCTACATCCCTTCTTTTGAACTTAGCATCATTTACTGAATGGTTTTTGTAATCTCCATCTGTATTTTTGTGGATTGTATTAGCATATTCCTTTTCTTCTCTGCAGAGTATTCTAATGCATAAAAATATCACAATGTATTCATCCTAAACTGGTAAGATATTTTGGTTGTCTCCAGTTTCCTATTTCTAGTAATGATTGGGCTATTTTAATAATTCTGCTCTAAACCTTCTTGCAAATGGCTCAGGTGAATGACTGCCAGTTGATTATGAGTCTGGGTCATAGTAGATACTACCAACAGATATTTAAAGTGGTTTCACCAAACTTGTCTCTTAACAGTCTATGAGAGTTTGAGTTGACCCACTTCCTCACCAATATTGGGTATTGCCAGTTGTCTAATTTAAGCCATTGTGGTGGAGGTATAGTGGTATATGACAGAGGTTTTAATTTCAATTCCCCTGACTATTAGTGAGATTAGGCTAATTTTTATATACTTTATATGTTTTTGGAGGGCCTGAAACATACGCTTATATTAATGACACATAAATACCATCTTTTGTGAGGTGACTATTAAAATCTCTTTCCCAATTTTCCATTGGATTACTTGCTCATTTCTATTGATTCATATAAGTTTGTCAATTGTTTTGTACTTAAAACCTTTCCTAGGTTATGTGTTACAAATATTCTCCCCCACTGTATTTTTTTAAATTTTCCCTTAAGGCATTCTTTTGATGAACAAAATATCATAATTGTAATGGAAGGATGATTCATCAAACTTTTCCTTATGTATAGTATAAAAATCCTTTAAATTTTTTTTTTAACTTTTATTTTAGGTTCAGGGGTATGTGTGCTGGTTTGTTACACAGGTAAACCTGTGACAGGCAAACTTATGACTCAGGCATATAGATTATTAAGGTGCTAAGCATACCTTTCACCAAGATCCTGAAGAGCTCTTTTTTTATCTCCTAGAAACAGTAATATTGGAATCCAATTATGGGTATGGTGTGAGGTGGGGCTTACTTTAACTTTTTTGTGGTGTGTATATTTAATAGACTATTTGCTAAAGAGGGATTCAAAACTAACTATGCTCCTATATGTTTGTTTATTTGTTTGTTTTTATATAACGCGATTTGATACTTATCCCATCAAAAAATGAGGGTCTAGAGCCACTTGTCTTGAAGCAGAGTAGTGTATATGTTGCTTGAATCAAATACGTTTGTTTATTTGTTTGTTTTTGTATAATGTGATTTGATACTTATCCCATCAAAAGATGAGGGTCTAGAGCCCCTTGTCTTGAAGCAGAGTAGTGTATATGTTGCTTGGATTAAATAACATGGCAGCAAAGTTATGCTGTTCATTTATGAAGTTAAGTCATAAAAGGTGAGGTAGATTCTACCTTACTTTGTGGAAAACTTGCATGGGAGAACTGAGCCACCATGGGAGTAGATCTGCCTTGAGGTTGTTTGGAATTCCAAACTACCTATCTTGGAGAGACAAAAGGGAGTATCCTTGAGAACACATGAAGAGAAAGAGAAAAGAGAAAGAGGGAGAGAGAGGAGACACAAGAAGACAGAGCACAGACATGCATATTCTTAGGTATTCCAGACATCAACTGTTTCAGTTCAAATCTGTCTGAATGCAATCATATATAAGATCTACAGACAGGTTGCCCAGTTAAGGTTTTTTTTTTTGTTTTTCATTTCCCTAAATTTTGACCCACATACAAAAAACAGATATTAAAATTAGTGCTGTCATCTTAAGCTGCTAAGTTTTGAGGTGAGTTATTAAGATGGACAATGGAACAATATGGATATCCAATTAACCAAGCACATTCCTGGAGTGGTGGACTCGATTCATTTTCCCTTTTCTTTTTTCTTTTTTGAAGACAATCTCAGCTCACTGCAACCTCCGCCTCCTGAGTTCTAGCAATTCTCCCACCTCAGCCTCCCAAGTAGCTGGAATTACATGTGTGTGCCACCATGCCTGGCTAAAGCTTTGTATTTTTAGTAGAGATGGAGTTTCACCATGTTGGTCAGGCTGGTCTTGAACTCCTGACCTCATGGGATCTGCCCACCTCAGCCTCCCAAACTGCTGGGATTACAGGCATGAACCATTGTGTCCAGCCCTTTACTTGCTTTCCAGTGGCAGCTTTGCCATAATATCACATCCATGTAAATTTGGGTCAGTTACTGGACTCCCTTTTCTGTACCAAGAGCTTGTCTGTCTATCACTATAACCATACCATACTGTCTAAATTACTTCAGCTTCTAAAAATGTCTTACATGTAATCACATGTATCCCCTAATTTTGTCCAACTTTAAGACTCTTTTAGCTATACATGTCTTTTACCTTTGTATGTAACATTTAGAAAATGTTTACCAAGGTCCAATGGCAAAACAAAACAAAACAAAAAAACAAAAATAACACTGCTGAATTTCTGGATTTCTTTCTTTTTTTTTTTTTTTTTTTTTTTTTTTTTGAGACCGAGTCTTGCTCTGTTGCCCAGGCTGGAGTGTAATAGCATGATCTTGGCTCACCACAAACTCCACCTCCCGGGTTCAAGCAATTCTCCTGCTTCAGCCTCCCAAGTAGCTGGAATTACAGGCATGACCGACCTTGCCGAGCTAATTTTGTAGGTTTAGTAGAGACAGATTTTTTCCATGTTAGTCAGGCTGGTGTCAAACTCTTAATCTCAGGTGATTTGCCTGAATCGGCCTCCCAAAATGCTGGGATTGCAGGCGTGAGCCACCATGGCTGGCCAACACTGCTGGATGTCTAAGGAAATTGTACTGAATCTATACATCTGTACTTGAGAATCTTTAAAATACTGAGTCTTGAAATCTACAACCATGTTATATTCCTCTTTATTTAGAGCTTTAATTTCTTTTAATAGTTTCATATTGTTCTGTATAGATACCTTTTAAATAGTTTTTAAAGATTTATTTCCAGGTATTTAATCTTTTGATTTGATAAATGTAAGATTTCTTAAATTTTATTTACTTGTTATTAGTTGGTGTCATTTAG